CCCCTGATTGGCGATGAAGAAAATACCAAATCTGTGGTAAAGGCACCCATGGATAGAGGGGTTAGAAAAGTCAACGGTGGTGGCATTGGAAGACGTTCAAGTAGCGAAGGAAAGGAGCTTTTGAAGAAGGGCGTGAAGATGGAGGAAGGGAAGAGAAGGAACAGGAAGTGAATCGTGTCCATTTAAGGGTTTGCCGCTATATTTTGAAATGGCTTCAAGTGTTTTGAATTCAAAAATGTATGGGGACCATATTGGAGAAGAAAGGGGAGGGGTGAGTAAAGATTGGGGCAGTAATGGACGTACCCAAAAAAGAGGGGGGGGGGGAAGGTGTAAGGGACTGGAGAGAAGTTGGGGGGGGACAGAAAAAAGGGAAAACCTGGGAGGTGCAGGGGGGCTTTGGGGGGGGGGACGGGGGGGGAAGGCATAGTACAGGGGGGGGGGTCCCCACTTGTAAAAGAGCCAAGAGAGGGGAAGAAAAAAAGGTACAGAGATGGAAAAGGGAAAAGGTGGAGGGGGAAGAAGGGGAAGGGAAGGGCAAAGAAGTTTTTAGAATGTGGATTTTTGGGCTTTTGAGTAGAGGGCATTTTGGTATTAGGTGTTTACGAGGTCCTTTTCGATACTGGGGCTTTTGAGGAAGGACCAAGTGTGAGAAAAGACTGATTGTAGCGGGAATCAAAGCCAAGGACAGCAAAAGGATTAATCCGTAGTGGCTTGGGAGGGGGGAACAACAAGGAGGCTGCAGAAATTTGGGCCCCCGAAGCGGGGGGAAGTTTTAAACACGAGAAAAAGAAACACGGGGTAGTCCCCTTGGGGGCGGAGATGAGTAACTTCCATAGCATAAGGGAGACCTTCTGCCTCTTTGAGGCAACGGATTTCACGTTCATTTAAGTAACCTGGCAATGGCGGGGGTCAAGGGGGAGCTTCATTAAATTAAGGGAAATGGAGGTTGACTGCAAAATGTTTAGAATGGCGTCGGGACTACAGACTGGGCATTCCCATAGATCTGCAAAATTTCCTGGGGACCAAAAAACCCCCAATTTCTCTTGTTGCGGTGAGGTTTTCACCTTTCGAATTGTAACCGAGTCCCGCACAATACAGAGGACGGGAGTTCCGGGTGTCAAAGTTTAAAAAAAGAGCCACATTCAAGGGGAAGTCCCGCCCCCCCGGGGAGGGAAGGACATAAGTGTCTACTTGAGGATTGGGAGATCCTGGGGTTCCAGCTGTTTTAAAAATGTCATTGCCACTGATGGGGAAATTCTGTTGGGCTATGGTATGGGGGAAAAGACATACCACTACAAGAATTGAGAGAAAGATGTTTTTTCTTAGTGATAGGGTAGTATCGATATTCGAAAGGAGAGAAAGATCTTGAGCTTTGGGGGCATTTTGGACAGTGATGATGCGCATCGCTCTTGGAGCATGAAATGAAATATCTCTACCCAAAATGATGCAGGAGGCTTTGCCAATACATGGTCAGAAAGGTAGGCAAAGAAGAAGTCGGGCTTAAAGTAAAGAATTTTTGCCATTGTGTGGTCCAAAACGAGCGGGGGGAGGGAGTGCTTGAGTGTCGGGGTTTTTTTTGATAGAAGGGAAAGGTAACGAAGGGGAACATAGGAGATTGACGTTGGCGTTTAGGATAGGGGTCGGAGTTTTTCCCGGGGTGAAATGGGCGGGCGATTAAAAAAAGCCGTACCCTAAAGGGGGGGAAGCCGGAAGCATAGTCAAAGGAGAGCGGTTCAGGGCAAAACGAAGGAGTCAGTCGAAGCCCCAGTACCTGAAAACGGGTGAAAACAGCACCAGAAGAGGTACAGGGGCACAGGAGTGTCCGAAAGTGGTTAAACACAAAGGGGGGTCAGAAGGGGTGCGGGACAAGAAGGGGCCCGGGGGGAGTGGGTTCATGGGCTAGGGCTGCCATGGTTTGGTTTCTCCCTTTTCTTTTTGTTTTTAAAAAAAAAAAAGAAAAAAAAGAAAATAAAAATAAAAAAAAAGAAAAAAAAAGGGGGAGGGGGAGGAAAGTTCCCCGGGGGGAATGAAAGGGCCGAAATCTCCCTCCACGCCCAAGAGGACCCCGCACCATGAGCGCGATGCAGCATGGAACCCGGCCATACCCTACCCCTTTATGCCCGAAAACCCAATCCGGGATAGAACCTCACATCTGCCGACTTTCCTTGGAGGGCAAAAAAGAGGGCGGCCGGATATCCCCCACAAGCATACCTCCCCTTTGCCACCACCCCCGGGATCCCAAAGGTGGCTTCCAGAGATAACCCGTCCCCGAAAAACACCCAAAGCACTCCGGGGTAAGGGGAGGGATTGGGACTCCCCAGGCAATCCCGATTCCACGGCAAACTACGCACGCCAAGAACCTCAACGGAAAGGGAGGACCCCGGTGTCCTTTCCCCTATAGGAACAGCACGCCCGTGGGAGAAATCCCAAAGGCCAAAAAAAAGGAAGGGCAAAAAGGGGGGGGTGAGGAGGGAAAGGAAAAAAGGGAGGATGGGATAGGGGGGGGGAGAATGGGGTAATTAGGGTTTGGGCTGAGGAAAAAGACCGACAGGGTAATTCCCAGACCAAAAAGCTCTTTACCACGCCAAGGAGATAAAACCCTTGAAAATTTTTTCTTTGCTCAATGTTTTAAAAATTTTTTTTGCATTTCCTTGTATATCTTTCTAGATGGGGTTCTTCAAGAGGAAGTTGCTGAATACACACAGAAGAATGCGAAGAGAACAAGAAGACATTTCATACACAGAGGAAGTTGGAGAGGATAAGTAGGAGTCTCACAACCAATTAACTGTCAGAATCTGATGTACTGTGTTTATAACATCAAAAGTCAGTGGTATAGTGGAAGGGTTCTCAGCCCTCCTCCAGAGAACCAGTGGTTTGAGACAGCATTATTCTTCACCCTTTATATGGTCTTAAGAGTAAGTGGGGAGGAGGGGGGACTAAAACACCTGCCCTTCAGGGCAAGATGTTGGGATGACCTGCAGTACTTAGCTTGGTATTCACTTTGATTTGTTTAGTGGCATTCCATGATCCTATTCACCTAAGTGCAAGAAGGAAGGAGGCAAAATCACTGTAAATGACCATGGTTCTACTTTTTCCTCAGTCCTTGTGGCTTAGCGCTTCTTTTTTTATTATAATAATAATCTACTTTTTCCTTGCACTTAGTGGCATTCCATGATTTGTTTGGTGAATAAGCCAATTCATGCTGACTGATTTCTTCATCTCAGTAAAAAGACAACTATCAGATAACAGAGTCCTTAAAAAACAGTGCTTTAATGCTACTAAAAGGTTCTTGATCCAAAGAAATAGTTACCATCTTTTTCCTTGGATCAAACCTCAATGCCTCCATTTCCTCCAGGCACTGTATGACTGAAACTGCACAACAATGACTCCTACAAGTTTAGGACTTCCCCAGGAAGGCTCAAATTTATCATAATATTTAGCAGACACTTTATTTTTAATCTTTCATGTTAAATTCTCATTGGAGGCTGATAATGATTGGTAAAAACCCCATGGCAATCGAGTCTTTATAGCGCAATATTTTGCCTGCCTGACAGTTCAAAGTTTATTCTCTATAAGGATTACAGTGCTGAGTTTACAGAATTTGGTTATTGTGTGGTTTACATGTAGTAAAATACTAATTACACAGGGGGCCACTAGAACACCTAGCATGGCTAGGCATTTTGGGTAGACTTAGATTAATTCTTAATTTTAAAATATTACAAATTATGAGGTAAGTTGGTATTATGGCTAAGTGACTAAATACTAGTTTGTGAGTTTAGGAATGTGAATGCTTTTGTTTTGGCACACTACATAGTTTCAGTATTGGAATATCACAGGCCAACTTATGACTAGTTAGGATTCATTATTTTAAGATTGAGTTTGATATTTCTGTTTATTGTCAAATGGGTGAGTGAATGTAAGTGTGAACCACCAGGTGGTATTTGTGTAATTAGTTGACAGGGTGTATCAGGGAGATAAGATGTTTTCTAATGGTTGTTTTGAATGTGTCTGCAGTTCTAGAGTTTTCAGGTAGGGTGTTCCAGATTTTAGGGCCTTTCACATACATTGAATTTTTGTGAAGGTTTAGTCGGACACGGGGAATGTCATAGAGATGTTTGTGTCTGGTGTTATGCCTGTGGGTTCTGTCACAACTATCAAGAAAGCATTTTAGGTCAAGGTTAATATTGGAATTTAAGGTCCTGTAGATGTAGATTGCACAGTAGTAAGTGTGGATGTACTGAACAGGGAGTAAGTTTAGATCTATGAAGAGGGGGGGGGGGGAGTTGCCAGGGATGGGATTTAGTGATTATTCTTACTGCAGCTTTTTGTTGGGTTTTTATTGGCTTTAGGTGTATTGCTGCAGTTGATCCCCCAAGCACAAATAGCATAGGTGAGGTATGGATAAATCAGCGAGTGGTATAGTGTGAGAAGGGCATTTTGTGGCACATAGTATCGTATCTTGGAGAGGATCCCAACCGTTTTGGATACTTTTTTGGTTATGTGTTGGATATGGGTGCTGAAATTCAGGTTGTCGAGGTATAGGCCTAGGAATTTGCCCTCATTATATCTGGCAATTAGAGTGCTGTCGATCTTAATGTTAATTTGCGCAACTCCTGCTCTGCTACCAAACATAATATAGTAGGCTTTGTCAGTGTTAAGCATAAGTTTATTGGCTGTCATCCAAGTCGATATTTTGATCAGCTCCTCGTTAACAATGGTGTTGAGGGTGGCAAGATTAGGGTGAGAAATGACATAAGTCGTGTCGTCAGCAAAGAGAATGGGGTTCAGGTGTTGGAAGATCATTGATGTATACGAGGAAGAGCAGGGGACCAAGGACACTTCCCTGCGGAACTCTAGTATCACAGTGGTTTAAATAATCCACAGGGAGTGATGTCACTTGTTCAGGTGTCATGTGCTTAGGTGTTGTATCCCCCTTGATAATAATAATTAGGTGTTGTATGACTCCCACAGGTGTAGCACTTCCTCAATGAAAGAAATCACAAACCTATGCATGTATTTTAATAACCTTCACAAGTTTTCCAGTAGCAAAAATATCTGTGTATTAAAAGGAATGTTATGGCAATTATAGCAAGTACATATACTAGTTATTAATTTTACCAATGACAGATGAAGCAGTAATCTCTCAGGTGCTACAGCAAGTTGTTTGTTGGGCTGAGAGAGTATTCTTGGCCCTGCCTCTTCAAAATTCCCCTGAATTTACCAACTCCTGGCATACTGTGCCCTAGCATACCTGCTCTTGAAGTTATATAAGGCAGCAGTGGTACAGGTGTGGGATCAAGGCCCAGGGCTAGTGATGGAAGTGGTAGTGAACAGTACAACTGTGCTTTTTACTGGAGGAATCAAAGTTGAAAGGTTTGACCTTGGTGACTGCCTGCCAGGAAGAGAGTACCTTCTTAGTTACAAATATAGACAAGAACTATTATTCATCAAGGCAGCTTCCTTGATGCTGACGAGTGGTTCTGGATAGAAAAAAATTGAGTCGTCTCTTTCTTGTATCAAGCCTGATTATCTCCCATTTCCAAGTCTGCATTTTTTAATCTTAAAGTTACTCCAGCAATTATTCAGCAGTGTGTTCCACTCTTCTATAACTATTGTCAAAGCAGAATATTCCTATATCTTTCCTAAATTAAAATGTATATGTAATTTTATTATAACTTTTTTTTAATTTACCTATATACAAAGATAAAAGTAGACAAACCTTGACTTTAGATTTTTTGTAATCCTGCATAGAGATCCTTTCTGACCTCTGAAGGGCAGAGTAAGGCGGGGGAAGGGAGCCCCTCCTGAGAGCGGAGCTGAAGGTCGGGAGACCAGAGGAAGCTGAGGTGAAATCCTCAATGACGGATCCTTCATTCAATGCCTTCGAAATAGCCGAGGGTCGTCTTCTTCCCTGGAGCCTGTGGGAGTAGGTGAAGAGATGACTGAATCAGCCTATACAGCTGAAGGAGGGGGAAGTATAGTTACTAGATACACATAAGTGGTTTACAAGATGTGAGCAAACACTAGCACTGAGTTATGTTTGAAGTGATGAAGGTCCTAGAAGAAAAACATTTTTCTAACAAGTCTTAGGGTTTACTCTGTTTTTTAAACCACTTGTGATGTATAAATAGAGAGATATTCTTAGAAGAGGTGATGGGGGATGCCCCTAGCTTTAACACTTAAATCTGCAAATTCGTCTAGGTAATTACCATCCCCCAGGTCACTCCTGATTGCCTCCCATTCCCCAGGGACTGCATAATTATGGTGGAACACTGCAGTAGGTCTACTGGCCCATACTTGGCAAGTTCTTTGCAAATCCAACCATTGCCACCCACATATTTGTCCACCTTACTGCTTTTGGGCTTATTGCTTATTATTTTATAATACTAATACTACTAATAATGTAATAATATAGCACCCACCTGCTGGAGACTGTGCCCAGTCCCCTGCCTTTAGGGGTCTGGAAGAGTCTGCTGTTGCCTGTGCTGGGGTTGCTCTTCAGTGACTTCTCCATCTCCTTCCTGAAGGCTTCCCTGGCATCCTCTAACTCCTGGAGTCGCTGCAGCCGCTCCTTCTCCGACACCTCCAGTCTCTCCCTCCAGATGAGGTTGAGGCGAGGACCGGTGGTGTTCTGGGGGTGGCTGGGGTCCACCTGCAGGCAAACACCAGTTAGTCAATCTCTTCAAGAAGGGGCATGATTTGATACCAAGGAGGGCTCTTGATCCATGGAAGTGGAGCTGTCCTCCCTCTCCTTGGGACAAACCTGAATGCTTACCATTTCCCCCACAGACACTATGTGACCCCTGCGAGTTTAGCGCCCTCATGAATGTAACAAAAATAAATTATGGTTGGCTTTTCATCCTGTCCTGAGAGAGAAAAAATATGAAGATGGAGGGAATATTTTGAGGAACTGTTAAATCTTGATGAAGATAGGGAAGCTGTGATTTTGTGTATAGGGCAAGGAGGAATAACATCTTGTAGGAGTGAGGAAGAGCCAGTTGCGAGTGTGGGGGAAGTTCGTGAGGCAGTGGGTAGAATGAAAGGGGGTAAGGCTGATGGGATAAAGATAGAAATGTTAAAAGCAGGTGGGGGTATAGTTTTGGAGTGGTTGGTGTTATTTAATAAATGTATGGAAGAGGGTAAGGTACCTAGGGACTGGCAGAGAGCATGCATAGTTCCTCTGTATAAAGGCAAAGGGGATAAAAGAGAGTGCAAAAATTATAGGGGAATAAATCTCTTGAGTATACCTGGTAAAGTGTATGGTAGAGTTATTATTAAAAGAATTAAGAGTAAGAAGGAGAGTAGGATAGCAGATGAACAAGGAGGCTTTAGGAAAGGTAGGGGGTGTGTAGACCAAGTGTTTACAGTGAAACATATAGGTGAACAGTATTTAGATAAGGGTAGAGAGGTTTTTGTGGCATTTATGGATTTGGAAAAGGCATATGACAGGGTGGATGGGGGGCAATGTGGCAGATGTTGCAGGTGTATGGTATGGGAGGTAGGTTACTGAAAGCAGTGAAGAGTTTTTACGAGGATAGTGAGGCTCAAGTTAGAGTATGTAGGAGAGAGGGAGATAATTTCCCAGTAAAAGTAGGCCTTAGACAAGGATGTGTGATGTCACTGTGGTTGTTCAATATATTTATAGATGGGTTGTAAGAGAAGTGAATGCGAGGGTCTTGGCAAAAGATATGGAGTTAGAAGATAAAGAATCAAACACAAAGTGGGAGTTGTCACAGTTGCTCTTTGCTGATGACACTGTGCTTTTGGGAGATTCCGAAGAGAAGTTGCAGAGGTTGGTGGATGAATTTGGTAGGGTATGTAAGATAAGAAAATTAAAAGTGAATATAGGAAAGAGTAAGGTTATGAGGATAAAAAGATTAGGTGACGAAAGACTGGATGTCAGATTGGAGGGAGAGAGTATGGAGGAGGTGAATGTATTCAGATATTTAGGAGTGGACGTGTCAGCAGATAGGTCTATGAAGGATGAGGTGAATCATAGAATTGATGAGGGAAAAAGGGTGAGTGATGCACTTAGGAGTCTGTGGAGACAAAGAACTTTGTCCGTGGAAGCATAGTTGTACCAACACTTGTATGGGTGTGAAGCATGGGTGATGAATGTTGCAGTGAGGAAAAGGCTGGAGGCAGTGGAGATGTCATGTCTGAGGGCAATGTGTGGTGCGAATATAATGCAGAGAATTCGTAGTTTGGAAATTAGGAGGTGTGGGATTACCAAAACTATTATCCAGAGGGCTGAGCAGGGGCTGTTGAGGTGGTTTGGACATGTAGAGAGAATGGAACAAAACAGAATGACTTCGAGAGTGTATAAATCTGTAGTGGAGGGAAGGCAGGGTAGGAGTTGGCCTAGAAAGGGTTGGAGGGAGGGGGTAAAGGAGGTTTTGTGTGCGAGGGGCTTGGACTTCCAGCAAGCGTGCGTGAGTGTATTTGATAGGAGTGAATGGAGACAAATGGTTTTTAATACTTGATGTGTTGTTGGAGTGTGAGCAAAGTAACAATTATGAAGGGATTCAGGGAAACTGGCAGGCCAGACTTGAGTCCTGGAGATGGAAATACAGTGTCTACACTCCGAAGGAGGGGTGTTAATGTTGCAGTTTTATAACTGTAGTGTAAAGCACCCCTCTGGCAAGACAGTAATGGAGTGAATGCTGATGAAAGTTTTTCTTTTTCTGGCCACCCTGCCTTGGTGAGAATTGGCCGATGTGTTAATAATAAAAAATTATTTAAAGAAATATTATGAGAGATTAAGACATGTACAACAGTTGTGTCTTTACTGGTGCATGTGTTTTACCCTTCTACTTGTCAGTACTGTACTGTATATCATTATTACAATAATTACAGTTCATGGATTTGTTAATGCATTAACTGTAATTACTGCATTAACAAATTAATGATATACAATACGACAAAGCTGATGAACAAGACAAATGTGCAACCAAGTTAAGGGATGAGGGCCTCAAAATGACCTTTCTATTGCCTCTACTGCATCCAGTATTACACCACTTATATTCAACTGAAGCAAGTATTGCACAAGTGTCTTATTCATCAAAGTAATAACCAAATGAAGTAGGTATGACCAGCCCTCAAGGTTAAGTTTTAGTAAGTCAGTCTCCTGAGATGCACATCAACCAAATAACTGCTGCAGCATATGGGTGCCTGGCAAACCTAAGAATTGCAGTTTGACCCTTGAGTAAGGAATTATTCAAGACTCTGTACACAGTGTATGTCAGGCCCACATTCGAGTATGCGGAACCAGTATGGAACCCACACCAGGTCAACACTGTCAAGAAATTAGATAAAGTGCAAAGATTTGCAACAAGACTAGTCCCTAAACTAAGGGATATGTCCTACAAGGAGAGGTTATAGTAAATTGACCTGACACTGGAGGACAGGAGAGATGGGGGGACATGATAACGACATATAAAATACTGAGAGAAATTGGCATGGTGGATAGTGATAGGATGTTTCAGAGATTGGGCACAGCAACAACTGGAAGTTGAAAACTCAGATAAGTCACAGGGATGTTAAGAAGTATTTCTTAAGCCACCGAGTTGTCAGGAAGTGGAACAATCTGGAGAGTGATGTAGTAGAGGCAGGATGCATACAGAGCTTTAAGAAGAGATATGACAAAGCTCATGGAGCAGGGAGAGAGTGAACCTAGTAGTGCCCAGTGAAGAGTCTGGGTGCTGGCTCTGCCACAGCTCCTGAGCTGTAACTTGACCCCTGCAACCACAAACAGGCGAGTACACAGGAGCTGTGAATCAACCGCTGCAACTACATTACATATAGGTGAGCACATACACGCATGCCCTCTGAGCAGTGGCCCTACCTGTAATAATTCTTCTAATTCCTCATTTGTCTCTTCCTCTTCCTCCTCCGCTTCGTCCTCTTTAATACTATCTTCCTGAAAACACAACTAAGGTTAATAAAACACTTGGAAACCTGAGGTGACCCTTAGATATAGTGGCAGTAGTAACCTTGTATAGATTGTGGGAAGCTCATGTACAAGGGAGGTACCCTGACACAGCATTGGTACCTATAAATAAATAAATAATATATATATATATATATATATATATAATATATATATATATATATATATATATATTATATATATATTATTAGTATATAGTATATAGGAACGGTACTTACAGTGGTGGTAGCAATATGTACAGAGGTACACTCTTATATATAAATAGCACCCTGGTGATGTTGGGAGAGCCAGAGCCTTCAAGAGAATAAAAGGACTTCAGAATGAAAGCCTTATTTCCTTCCCCAAACTCGTTTGTTCCTTCCCTTACTCCTACGGTCCCTATTTTATTATATACATGAATGTACATATATAAACATACACTGACCTTGAGGAGTCTGGGGTGGTACTTGAACCTGCACCAGGTGGCGGTATAAGCAAGGTGATCCTGACGAAGGCGCTGCAGGTTCTCTGCCAAGGTCGGGTCCTTGGCTTTCACCTGATCCTCTACCATCTCGAAGCGACGGATGATCGCCATCTGTTGGAAAGTGTGGCTGGGTTAGTAAGCGCAACAGATGGGCGGGATGTGATGAACAAGGAGTGTGTTTAACGAGAGTGAAGACAAATGTTGTTCGAGTGAGAACAAGGTAACATTCATGAAATGATTCAGGAATAGTGACCAGCCAAACCCGAGTCTGAAGCTGGAAAGTGTAGTGTCAGTACTCTGAAGGAGAGGTAGGGAATGGGGATGCTGTAGTTTAGAAGGCCAACTGAATTGATGTCTCCATACTTCAGGCAAGACACATATGGAATAGGTTAGTTATGGTGAATGTATATATGTATATGTTATCAGAGCCAGGTTCAGATATTCTTAGCTTCGTTGTCGGATTTCACGGGTTTGAATCTACAATGTTACACATGCATTTCTACAACCAATGGAAGTTTTAAGAACTGTATGACAAACAGCATTGATGACGGGACACCACCATCACAGTTCTGCTCCTGTATACCTGGAGAGGGTTTTGGGGGTTAACGCCCATGCAGCCCAGTCTGCGACCAGGCCTCATGGTGTATCAGGGCCTGATCAACCAGGCTGTTACTGTTGGCCGCACGTAAACTGAAGTATGAACCACAGCCCGGCTGGTCAGGTACTGACTTAGGTGCCTCTCCAAAGCCTTCTTGAAGACAGCCAGGGGCCTACTGGTAATTCCCCTTATGTATGCTGGGAGGCAGTTGAACAGTCTTGGGCCCCTGATATTGTGTTGTCTCTTATCGTACTAGTGGCGCCCCTGCTTTTCATTGGGGGGATATTGCATCGTCTGCCGAGTCTTTTGCTTTCACAGGGAGTGATTTTCGTGTGCAAATTTGGTACACATCCCTCTAGGTTTTCCAATTATGTATCTCTCCCGCCTGCATTCCAGGGAGTAGCTACCAATATATAATTACACTGCAGATATGCTGAAGAAAGTTTACGGGGTGAACATCCGTTTTTTCAGTCGCACAAGTCCATTATATTAGCATGTACATCTGGGATGCAAAGCTATTTTAATAAAAGTTAAGTATTATAATATAGAAGACAAGAGAGTATCACCAACCTCTTTGCGTCGCCTCCTGATGAAGTTAGCGAGAGTTGAGTTGTGAAACGTGTGTTGGTGGTGAGGCAACCTCTGTTCCTGCCACACCTCACTGTTGATCACTGACACTACCTGCAACACACACATGCTCTTACAAAGGTCACCACTGATACCACCTGCAACACCTACGGCACAGTGTCCACCGTATGTAAGGAACAGTGTTCCATCATTTGATTTTTGCAATCTGTTATTAGTAAAAAAGATGCTATATCTGTAATAATAATAATAATAATAATAATAATAATAATAATAATAATAATAATAATAATAATAAATAATAACGTAGCATATACATGAAAATAATGTTTAACAATTTTTAAACCATAATAGCCATTAATTACCAGTAATTGCTTGATCAACTTCCTTCACGACCTTTTCAAAGGTAAAAGTGCTTATAATAAGACACGTGACCTTAAACTTAGCATAATTAGTGGCCTCATTAAGCAATTTCCCGCTGGTATCAAAGCATCACTCGCAGGCAAGCATTAACGTCTTGAATTATCATGATTTAATAATAAATCTAAGGTCATTAAGGCTTGATAATTACTCTAAGAAGTCTGCTGTCTGCAGGGAGATTATCATCTCGACACCTGGTACATAGCAGCAACCATAATTTTTAAAGGAATGGACTCGTAAGCCAGTGGAAGGTCTCAGTCAGATGACCGAAAGCTCCAGTTGTTTACCTGGAGTTTACCTGGAGAGAGTTTCGGGGGTCATCATATGACTAAGACCCGCGTCAGGAAACACTTGTACTGTTCCCTGACAAACCTTACCTAACCTTAACCTTAGATGGCAGCAGTGAGGCCCTCATCCCCCCTTCTCTCTCTCTCTCTCTCCTAATATTAACAGCCTGGCTGATCAAACCTGGATCCACCGCGCGGCCTGGTCATGGACCTGGCCGAGTGGCGTTAACCCCCGTAACATCCTTCAAGTATTCAGGATTACAACAGTCGAGTGATTAAAAATCGAAGGGATTCCAACAGTCGAGGGATTACAACAGTCGAGGGATTACAAGTCGAAGGGATTCCAACAGTCGAAGGAATTACAACTGTCGAGAGATTACATCAGTCGAGAGATTACATCAGTCGAGGGATTACAACAGTCGAGGGGTTACAGGCAGACCATATACATGTAGCTGTAAGACAGTCAGGGGGTCGTTACTAAACATGTGGGAGCCAGAGGGACGTCACTAGACGTGTGGGAGCCAGAGGGGCGTCACTAGACATGTGGGAGCCAGAGGGACGTCACTAGACATGTGGGAGCCAGAGGGACGTCACTAGACATGTGGGAGTCAGAGGGACGTCACTAGACATGTGGGAGCCAGAGGGACGTCACTAGACATGTGGGAGCCAGAGGGACGTCACTAGACATGTGGGAGCCAGAGGGACGTCATTAGACATGTGGGAGCCAGAGGGACGTCACTAGACATGTGGGAGCCAGAGGGACGTCACTAGACATGTGGGAGCCAGAGGGACGTCACTAGACATGTGGGAGCCAGAGGGGCGTCACTAGACGTGTGGGAGCCAGAGGGGCGTCACTAGACGTGTGGGAGCCAGAGGGACGTCACTAGACATGTGGGAGCCAGAGGGACGTCACTAGACATGTGGGAGCCAGAGGGGCGTCACTAGACATGTGGGAGCCAGAGGGGCGTCACTAGACATGTGGGAGCCAGAGGGGCGTCACTAGACATGTGGGAGCCAGAGGGGCGTCACTAGACGTGGGAGCGAGGGACGTCACTGACTTGTGGAGCATTATGTTTTGGTCAAAAACACATGTGGGAAATTTTGTTGCTTCACGGTTAAATCTCGTTTGTGTTTTATTTTATTTTGTTCAGTCCGGGAGATGGTGTGTGTGATTTTTTCTAAATAAACTTAAAACAAATTTCAGTTTTTGGGGTTACACTACGTCATATAAAGGGGTTTATAGTGGGAAAACCCCCTATTGTTTGGTCACACTATTCTAAGGAGTCATTACATAGTGGGCAAAGATGTTTCTGCCCTGTCCCATCAAAATGGATGGTTTTTGTCGGTAAAGAAACCTTGTCGCTGTTTTGCGGCCTTCACAAAACGATGAGGATATTGTCAAACTTTCCCTTTGGATTCAGCAGCTGACCCGCTTTTAGGTTTCCTTTTTTAAAAAAACTGGACACACAAAACCTCACATTGGAGAAGGAAAGCTTATGTGACGTTTTTGGGCCGACTTGGACTATTGATAGTACGGTACCGTGATTTTGTTCTTATAAAAATGAGTTTTCATTATGGAATTACTAATACTTGGGAATTCCATCTGGAGGAAAAGTACATTTGCATTTTAACCGGGATTATTTAGAATTATTATACATGAAAAACATAGTAAAAAATAGCACTGCATAAAAGGCTGGGTTTGTGTTGTAAGTTAGTGTTTCGTCATGATGGTGTAGTGTAAAATTACTGTTGTTAGCGTCCTGCTGGTGTTGGTGCTGGTTCTTGCGGTTGTGGCAGAGATAAACCACGTTGTTTGTAGCAGCTAACACTGCTGTTTTTGGCGAGATGTGGTGCACACAACTTGTACTTCCACGACCTTCTTTAGTCAGCTTTATTGTTGCTACGCTCACACGTGTGCATGCATGTTACCTCTCTGTGATATCTTCTTGTGTGTGTGTGTGTGTGTGTGTGTGTGTGTGTGTGTGTGTGTGTGTGTGTGTGTGTGTGTGTGTGTGTGTGTGTGTGTGTGTGTGTGTGTGTGTGTGTGATAGGCTATCCTGAGAGATTGTAATTCCCAAGCGATAGTAGCTGCAGCTCTGCTGGAAGGAAATCTTAGAGGCTGTCGAAGCTGATGAACCTTTACTGGAATACTTGACGATATCTTCATTGTCTTATTGAAGTCTCGCAGCTCAGGCTGACACCAATGAAGTCTCCCAAATCAGGATGACACCATTGAAGTCTAAATCAGGCTGACACCAATGAAGTCTCCCAAATCAGGCTGACACCAATGAAGTCTCCCAAATCAGGATGACACCAATGAAGTCTCCCAAATCAGGATGACACCAATGTAGTCTCCCAAATCAGGCTGACACCAGTGAAGTCTAAATCAGGCTGACACCAATGAAGTCTCCCAGATCAGGCTGACACATTTCAACACCGAGCCGCGGGGGCGTTGATCCTCAGAACACCCTCCAGGTATACTCCAGGTAACACCTTGTATGTAACCCTTCTGTGTGATGGAATATGACAGGGAGAAATAACTTGCGTTATAGGTCAGGTAAGCAGCACATTGCTGATGTATCCAATTTTACTCAAGTATGTACTATGATCCTCAAGTCTCCATTCTACTTTTCTATTGCCGCTCGCTCCCTCCCTCCCCCTGCGTGTGCCTGGGTTGCTTCGTTCACCATTAATATGATTATGAGACTGGAACACAAAACATGTCCTCCCTCCCTCTTCATCTTTTCCTTCTCTCTATTTCCTGTCCTATCCTCCCTTCTACTACTTCCTTTCCTCACCTCTCACTATCCCCTCCCTTTCTTTCCACCCAGTACTCGCCCCCATCTTATTCCTTATCCTCATATCAGACATAAACAGAGATATACACCACAGCACCGTATCATCCTTTGCGGATGATACTAGGATCTGCATGAGGCTGTCATCTGCTGAGGACGCGGTTAACCTCCAAGAAGATATAAACAAAGTTTTCCAGTGGGCAACGGTAAACAATATGATGTTCAATGAGGACAAATTCCAACTACTCCGTTATGGAAAACTGGAGGAGATAATAACTAGAACAGAGTATACTACTGACTCCGGCCATACAATAGAGCGGAAAAATAATGTAAGGGACCTGGGAGTAGTAATGTCTGAGGATCTCACTTTCAAGGATCACAACAGTGCCACGATCGCACGTGCAAAGAAAATGATAGGATGGATAATGAGAACTTTCAAAACGAGAGATGCCAAACCCATGATGATCCTTTTCAAATCACTTGTTCTCTCTAGGCTGGAATACTGCTGTACATTAACATCTCCATACAAAGCAGGTGAAATCGCAGATCTAGAGAGTGTACAGAGATCCTTTACTGCACGTATAAGTTCTGTCAAGCACCTTAACTACTGGGAACGCTTGAAAGCACTTGACTTGTACTCGTTGGAACGCAGGAGGGAGAGATATATCATAATCTACACTTGGAAAATCTTGGAAGGAATGGTCCCAAATCTGCACACAGAAATCACTCCCTACGAAAGTAAAAGACTGGGCAGGCGATGCAAAATGCCGCCAATAAAAAGTAGGGGCGCCATTGGTACACTAAGAGAAAACGCCATAAGTGTCCGGGGCCCAAAACTGTTCAACAGCCTCCCATCAAGCATTAGGGGAATTGCCAATAAACCCCTGGCTGCCTTCAAGAGAGAGCTGGACAGATACCTAAAGTTAGTGCCGGATCAGCCGGGCTGTGGCTCGTACGTCGGACTGCGTGCGGCCAGCAGTAACAGCCTAGTTGATCAGGCCCTGATCCATCGGGAGGCCTGGTCGTGGACCGGGCCGCGGGGGCGTTGATCCCCGGAATAACCTCCAGGTAACCTCCAGGTAACCCTCTATTACTATTCTGCTCGCTTACCCCCCCCCACCTCCTCCTCTTTATCTACTTTTATTCCCTTGCCCTCTTTTCTTTCCCCTCCTATCTTCAATTCTCCTTTCCTCTCTCCTTCCGTGCTCCACAAAAAATCGTTTGTTTATTCTCGGTCACCAAACACGCAAGCCAGGCCGGGAAATTGTTGATTTGTAGGTCTTGATTCATGGGTCGTGCGAGTTGATTCATAGGTCGTGTGGGTTGATTCATAGGTCGTGTGGGTTGCTTCATGGGTCGTGTGGGTTGATTCATGGGTTGTGTGGGTTGACTCATGGGTCGTGGGGGTTGACTCATGGGTCGTGGGGGTTGACTCATGGGTCGTGGGGGTTGACTCATGGGTCGCGGGGGTTGACTCATGGGTCGCGTGGGGGTTGACTCATGGGTCGTGGGGGTTGACTCATGGGTCGTGAGGGTTGACTCATGGGTCGTGGGGGTTGACTCATGGGTCGTGGGGGTTGATTCATCAAGGCCT